GGGAGGGAGGGAGGGAAGAGAAGCATGCATATACACTGAGAACATTATGAAAACTAGAAGACTGGTCTGCCCAGAGGGAAACCAAGCTAAATTGAGAGGGAGGGTAAAAAGTTGTCCAGTTCCCCCATTTCCTCTCCCTGACCCCTCAAAAGGAAATGCATCTGTCTCAGAAGTCCTCCAAACCTCCTTCCTGTCCTAGGGAAACACCAGTCAGCTTCTCCTGCCTTGGAGGTGGAACTAATTGGGAACAAGGTAGGTACAGAAAGGGTCTGAGACCCAGAGAAAGTGGCACCTAGGCAAAGTGGTGCATAGGCTGAAGTGCAGGACCCCACTCTGAGTCCAGCCTAGTCTACATATAGTGAGTTCCAGGCTAGCCAGAGCTACACAGTGACACTGTCTCAAAACAAAACCAAATTAGGGCTGGCTCTGCAGTTAGAGAACTGGCTGCTCTTCCAGGGGACCTGGGTTTAATTACTGGCATCAGCATGGTAGTTCACAACCATCTGAAATTCCAGTTCCAGGGGAGCTAACACCCTTTTTTGACTTCCTCTGGCACCAGGCAACATGGGATACACAGACATACATGCAAACAAAACATACATATAAAATAAGTAAATTTAAAAAAACTAAACAAAAAAAAATAACAGAAAAACAAAACAAAAGAAATTGGGGAGTTGCTCAGTGGTGGAGTGCTTACCTAGCATGTATGAAACTGGGTTTTCAGTCTCCAACACTTCAAGAAAGAAGGGTGAGGAGGTAAGCACTTTAAGATAGTCAAGAGAAAGAAGCTGTGGAGAAATTATTGGTGAAGGATAACTTTAGGCCAAGGGTTGGGAATTAGTCTGTTCACTTGGGTACCGCAGAAAGTGTCCACCTGTGGACTGGACAGGGAGGTGTGAAAGAAAGGCCAGTAGCAGGAGGAGGGGACAGGGTGGCACTGATTGAACCTCTGGGTGTTCTCAGCTCAGGACACATCCACAGAGCCAGAGTGACAGCCCAATATGGAACCAAATCCTCACTTTCCAGATTCAGGTATGGCTGCTCCATCACACCCTCCCTCCCCTTCCTCAAATCCAAAGAGGAAATTCTGGTGTTGGTGTGGATAAAGGCTGGGTCCACTAAGCTCAGCAAAAGAAGCTCTGCCTGTTAGGAAGTTCAGGATATACTATCAAGCCAGTAGAGAACAGTAAGGGTGCCCTTTCACCCACATTAAAAAGGAAAACAGGCAAGAGCTGAAAAAAATATCTCCATGGTTAAGAGCACTTATTGCTCTTGCAGAGGACCTGGGTTCAGTTCCCAGCACCCACACAACCCTTGTTGTGGGCATGTGTGTGGGCATGCATGTGCCAGGGTGCATGTATAGAGGTCAAACAAACTTGAGAAACTGGTTCTCAGAAAAAACAAACAAACAAACAAAAGCCGGGCACACCCCTTTAATCCTAGCACTTGGGAGGCAGAGGCAGGCAGATTTCTGTGAGTTTGAGACCAGCCTGGTCTACAAGAGCTAGTTACAGGATAGCTTCCAAAGCCACAGAGAAACCCTGTCTCGAAAAACCAAAAAAAGAGAGAGAGAGAGAGAGAGAGAGAGAGAGGAGAGAGAGAGAGAGGGAGGAGGAGGAGGAGGAGGGAGAGTTGGTTCATTGCTCACATGGTAGGTTTCAAGAGGTTGAGCTCAGGTCATTGAACTTGCACAGCAATCTCTTCTACCCACTGAGCCAACTCACCAGTTCCAGTCCTGAAATTTAAACAAACAGGGGTCTATGTTAATATCAGGAATACACAATGGGCTAGAGAGATGGCTCTGTGGTTAAGAACTCTTGTCAATATTGGAGAGGACCCAGGTTCAGTTCCCAATACCTATGCGGAGGCTCACAACAATTTGTAACTTCAGTCCCAGGAGATCCAATGCCTTCTTCTAACACCAGAAATCCATGTGGTGTACTTACACAGACACAGGCAAACACTTACAGACACAAACTGAATCTTTCCTAATTTCTTTCTTTCTTCCTTCCTTTCTTTCTTTCTCTCTTTTCTTTTTTTTTTCTTTTTTTTTGTTTTTGGCTTTTTCAAGACAGGGTTTCTCTGTGGCTTTGGAGGCTGTCCTGGATCTAGCTCTTGTAGACACAAACTAAATCTTAACAATAAAATGAATACAAAGTGATGTATCATCTCAGAGGTTTGCCAGCAGTCCTTATAAGTGGGAAGCCTGAGCCAGGCATTGGTGGTGCATACCTGTGATCCCAGCACTCGGTAGGCAGAGGCAGGAGGGTCTGTATAAGTTTGAGGCCAGCCTGGTCTACAAAGCAAGTTCCAGAACAGCCAGGACTGCTACCCAGAGAAACCCTGTCTCTGAAAAGTAAAATAAGTAGGAAGCCTGGAAGACAAAAGTGCCCAAGCATAGTGATAAATTTGGCTTGTCGGTGATTGAATAGGAATGGAGGCAGGCCTTCCCAGCTGTTTGTAAGGTCCCCATGAGGACCTCACCATGCCATTATACCCTCACTGTGCCTCCTGCTTTCCCTTGCAGCTGCCCTGCCTCTCTAGCTACATCAAGTTCAGAGTCGTGGACTGGTGAGCAAATGGACTAGAGGCAGACCCACGCTCTGGGGAGGAGGAAACAGAGCTGGGCCAGGGACTCAGCCTGCAGTGTGTTTTTCAGCTCCAAACGTGATTGCTGGGAAGTGATTGGGTCTGCCAGCTTGTGCCTCAACCAGATCTCATCCACTGGGGAGGAGATCCAAGGCAAGCAGAGCCTGGGACCCTGCCCTTGCACCCCTCCCACCCGAGCCCCTGAGCTTTCTCACTCTCTCTGCTTCCAGGAATGTACTCTGGCTTCCTGCCCTGCTTTGGCCCCAGCTTCCTGACTCTACGTGGGGGTAAAAAGGCCCCTTTTAGAATCCCTGAGGATGGTACTGTAAGTGTTTCCTGTCAACTTTGGGGGACAGTAGAGGTAAAGTTGACTGTGTGTGAAGCACTGCAAACTTGGGAGTGTCCAGGGAGGACTCTGTCTGACCTCTGTCCAGCTCCTAATAGGAGAGAATGGACATGGGTGCAGAAATAGCCATAATATATACAAGAGTCCTAATGTAACATGTACATAAATATACAAAGGTCCTAAGTCTTGGTACCAGAAAAGGTCAAATGGAGTGCTCTAGGTAAGGCACTGAAGATGAAACCCACAGGTAGAAAAGGCACACTGGGTTAAAAAAAAAAAATTGCAAGGTTGCTCAAGACTGCTGACTAATGCTGGGAACCCAACTCAGATTAGTTTAACCAAGAATGGGGATACTTGGAAGGTTAATGCAAGAAGATCATGAGTTTGAAGCTAGCTAGGCTATGATCGCAGTTCCTTCTCAAAAAAAAAAAAAAAAAAGATGGCTCAGCCAGTAAAGAGCCCTAATACCACACCTGATGCCCTGAGTTCAGTCCTGGAACCTACTTATAGAAAGAGAGAGCCGACTCCCAAAAGCTGTCCTTGGACCTCCAACCTCATGCCATGATATACTCCATCCCTCAACACATAAGTAAAAATAAACTGAAATAAATAAAAGGAAAAATGAGGGGGGGGACTTAATGAGGCTGGTGGGAGTTTGTGAGAGGAGCCCTTCCCTGTCACAACCTCTGCCTCTCCTTCCATGCCTCCCTATGGGTGGCTCCTCAGCCTTAGTCTCCTGCCACAGTTTGTTCTTGCTGGGACTCTGCCCACAGGGTCAGGGAGGCACTCTGGTTGGCCTCTGTTGGGCTTCAGCATTCTTCTTGGACCAATCACTTTCTACAAGCCGGCAGAGCAAAGGTTGATTGGCCAGGTTGGGAACACTCACTCTAGTGATCGCCATCCCCTCCAAGCCCTAGACATCTGTGTAATTCAAAATCCTTCAGGTCTGCTTGGCAGGCAAAATACATGAACGTGAAATAGTGGATGTGAAGAGCACAGAAGAGGATCAGGACCCAGAGGCTTCTTGGTTACCTGGAATTCTTTAGTAGGGCTGTGGTTGGAGGCATCCCCAAGCAGACTGTCCCTGGATAGTCTTGCCTTTGCTGTGTGGACTCCAGGGAGGTTCAATTACCCCCCCTTTTTTTTTTGATCATCCCCTTTTCTCTGTTGCTCTAGTGTATTTTTGATGCTGTTAAGGATGGTTTAACTTATCAAGGCCGGATCTTCGTGGAGATAATCACCCGGATGAAGTCTCAGCAAGACTCTGTGATAAAGGATCTATCTCGAGAAGTGACCCAGATAGAGGTAATCACAGGAAACAGTTAACCCAGGAAAAAAGATGCAGTTTCTCTACATTCCCCCAGATCTACTGTGAACACCAGTTTCCAATACTGCAAGAGGCACTGGCCACCAATCTGTTGGAAGTATAAGGATGCTCCATCAGTATTACCACAAGCACCTTCCAGGGCTTTCATGCCGAGCCAAATCCCTAGTGGTCACAGATCCTTCAAACACAGGGCTTCAGCTTTGTGAACCTGCTTTTTAAGAAGGAAGAAGGTTCATTCCCATCCTCATTCTTTGGGCTTTGTAAGAGAATTTAATGCATTTGGATTTGAAGAACCCAGTGGAGACCCCCTGAACAGGAAGAGCAGAGCAGTGGCTTTCAACCTTTGGGAGCTGAATAACCCTTTCACAGGGGTCACCTAAGACAATTGGAAAACCACAGATATTTACGTTAGGCTTCAGAACAGTAGCAAAATTACAGTTATGAAGTAAGCAATAAAAGTAATTTTATGGTTAGGGGTCACCACAACATGAGGAATTGTATTGAAGGTCGAAGCACTAGGAAAGTTGAAAACCACTGGGGTAGAGGAACAGGATAAACAACAGATTGGAGGGGAATAAACTGAGGTAACTCAGTCAATAGAAATATGGATATAGTCTTAGCAGAGGGGAGTAGGAGGAGAGAAGACAGGGTCCAGAGGCCCCTTGAAAACAGTCAAAAGTGAGGCTGACTCCTATAGGCACATGGCCATTTTCTGCCTTGGGTGACAGCATGGTCAACAGTGTCAACCATAAACATGGGTTCCCTGAAGAAGGAAAGTGATATGGGAGATGACAAATCCTATCTCTCTCTTGAGAGATGTACACATCTCTCCATCTGGAAGCTGCTACCTACAATGGCATGAGACAAGGACATCATGATTGAATCTGTGGTCCTAGTAACAATGGCCTGGTAAGAGTAGGTGGACTTAAAGGAGACGAGAGCTGAGGATGGAGTCTAACATGACACCATGGCCAGGACGGGAGGAGAGGAAAGGAGATAGCGAGAGAGAGAGAGAGAGAGAGAGAGAGAGAGAGAGAGAGAGAGATTGAGAGACAGAGTCTGAAGCCCCTGGTAGCTGCGGTAGCTCATATCTGCTGTAATCCCATCAATCAGAAAGCTGGACTGCCATAAATTCTATGCCAGCCTGGGCTACAGATTGAAACTGGTTGTTGTTTGTTTGTTTGTTTTTAAGAAAAAGAAGGAAAGGAAGAGATTGAGAAAGAGAGGGAGGGAAAAGGAAAGTAGGAGAGGAGAAGGCAGAAATAGCGCAAATGTTAGCAATAGAAATGAGAGGCTATTGTGAATAGAGGACCTAGGTAGGTGGGTGGCACGGTGGAAACAGACATAATTAGAAACAGACAATTGACAGCTGAGGCAGAAGTGGAAAGGGGCAGCCTTCCTGCACAAGAGAGAGGGACTTGATGGGAGTCACCAAGAGCAGGGCTCTATGTGTGTGTGCATGCGTATTTGAACTCTTCTTGTCCTAACTCAGAGCCAAGTTTAACCACAGAAGAGACCTTCCTGCCCAGCTTCAGAGAGGGAAAGAATGACCCAGCTGGGTGGATTGTCTGAGTGACAGAGATACTGGAAGCAACTGCACTTGATCAGCCTGTGCAAGATGTCAGTAATGATCTAGTTCATCCCAAAGTGGAACACAGAACATTTTAGGGAAAACACGGGGTACTCGTTCTCCTGTCCCTGCCTGTCAGGTTAGCCATACTCATTCCTTATAGACTGAGGGTGTGTGTATCTGTGGTTATTGTTTTAGAGACAGCAGTATCGGCACAAGTATGGGCTGTGCGTTGTCTTCCTTTCCTGTACCATGATGCCCAAGTTTAAGGACCTGATCCAATTCGAGGTCAGCATGGGTCACTATGGAAACAAGATGGATCCAAACTACAAGCCTCTCGTATCAACCACACAGTACAGCCCGGTGATATATGATGGTAACGGCCAGATGCAAGCAAAAAAGTGAAGCAGCCCATGTGCATGCTGGGCTCTCCCAAGGAGTATTAGCTCATAGAACACGCATAAATATTCCCAGTGTTAGCCAGGCAGTGGTGGCATGCACCTTTAATCCCAGCACCTGGGAGGCAGAGACAGGAGAATCTCTCAGTGAGTTTGAGGCCAGCCTGGTCTACCAATCGAGTTCCAGGACATCCAGGACTGTTACACAAAGGAACCCTGTCTCGGAAAAAAAAAAAAAAAATCCCCAGTTGTTTTTTTAGGCAGGGTCTCACTTGGTAATACAAGCTGGCCTTGATCTCATGGTCCCCCGCCCTCAGGCTGCCAAGTGCTAGAATGACAGGCACGAGCACCACATCTGGTGATTTACACACATTTTCACACACGCTGACAATGAAGTTGAGGGTAGTGAAGTCGCTTACCAGACATTTCACAGCTAGTAGGTGAAAACAGCTGTTCATCTCTCTATGCCTTATCCATTGCTCGGTGTGTGTGGTGTGTGTGTGCACAAGTGTAAGCTTGCACATGTATAAGCTTGCACGTGCACTTGCAGAAGCCAAGGGGGAGGATGTTGGATGCCCTTCTCTATCAACCTCTATCTTACTGTCTTTTGAGACAAAGCCTCTTCCTGAACCTGGAGTTAAGTTGCTGGCCAGCAATCCTCAGTAGACCCTGTCTTCGCCATCCACAGTACTGGGGTTCCAGCCCCACAAGGCCACAGCCTACTTTTTCACTTTGGCAATGATATCTGAACTCAGATGTTCATATATATGTACAACAAGATCTTAACCATGGAGCCATCTCTCCAGGCCCCAACCCATTTATTTAGCCATTCAGCTTTCACCAATCCATTCCCCCCAGACACACAATCCATTCATTCACCTCCCCATCCAATGTGAATTAACTGGGCACCTTGTCTTTCCACTGTAATCCCTGGGCCAACAGTATCAGCATCTTAGAAAGGCAGATTCTTGATCTCACTCCAGACCTATAAAAATCACAAAAATCTATGAATAGAGCCAAAGGGACTGTTTGGGCCTGCAGGCAATGTGGATACGTGTTAAAATTTGAGCGTCCCTGGCACAGTCTTCCTTTCTCTTTGTCAGCGTCACCATCTCGTTGCCCATCCAGATGCTTTCCGAGGGCCTTATTTTCCTACCCTTTTAAATAAAAGCTTTGTTGAGATACAATTCCCATAACATGTAATTTGCCCCTTTGAAGCATACAATCCCATGGATTTTAGGATTTTCACAGTTATGCAACTGTTCCCACAATCCATTTTAGAAGGCTTTCCTCTCTCCCCAAAGAAACGCTGGGCCCATTAGCTCTCCCTGTTGCTGTCTCACCTCCACAGATGTGGACAACCACTAATCTACTGTCCGTCTCAATACATTTCCCAAGTCTGACGTTTCACACACATGGAATTTGGCAATATGTGGTCCCTTGTGACCAGCCAGCTACTTCCATTTAACATAAAGTTCTGCTGTTTTTATACTGAGAAATCTGTATGCAAAAAGTACCTAAAATGTATACACGTAGCTTAAAGGAGGGTGAAATGAATTCTCGAAAACTCATCAACCAGCTAATACATAGAAGGCTGCCGATGCCTGAAATGGTACCTCCGTCTGAGAAGTAACTATGATTCTGTCTCATACGTTTAGCAGCCTCTGGTTTTCTTTTTTTTTTTAATCCTGTGTATGGAACCCACAAGCAGCATGCGCTTTTCCTATTGTTCTGAGAGGACTCCATTCACCCATGCACATCTATCTGCCTTACACCTTCTGTCTCACATGGCTAGACTCTGGGTAGCTGTATCTTGTTTTATTTTCGGAATGTATCCCACTGTGTGATCAGACCACAAATTATGTAGTGTATATAGATAAGCTGGCTGGTATAATAACTTTGTTGTGAGCATTCTCATACATGTCTTCTGGCCACAAGGACAGGGGTTCCTCTAAATTATATACCTAGGGGTGGGAGAGAGTCTCAGAGCAAAAGTGATTATGCCAAATTACACTCCCAACAGCATGGGATGAGAATTCCTTTTGTACTCTGTTCTCACCAGTACTTGATGTTGCCAGCCTTTTAACTGTTGCCATGGTATTGGATGTGAAACTTTTAATTGTTGCCATAGTATTGGATGTGAAAAACTATCTCACATGACTATAATGTGCTTTCTCATTATAAATGAAGGTTGGGCATCTGTGTATACACAAAATTTTCCCTTAGTCTGGCCATCCTTTTTTTCTAGTATATAATCATATATACTATATTTTTTACTATATCTTTCTGATTGATTTGTACATTAAATATCTATTCAAATTTATGTACCATGTACTTATCCTTAAAATATCCAAGATTAGCCACTATCTCTGTTTTGTGGTTTGAGACAGGGTCTCTAGTAGCCCAGGCTGGCCTTAAACTCACTATGTAGCCGAGAATAACCTTGAATTTCTGATCTTCCTCCCCTCACTTCCCAAGTGCTAGGATCACACTCAAGCACCACCATGCCTGTTTTTATGTTGTGCTGATAACCAAACCTAGGGCTTCCTGAATGTTAGCCTAGTACTCTACCAACTGAGCTACACCCCTAGCCGCACGTTTCTTTCTTTAGGGAAAGGATTGTTGAAGGCTTTGGCCTATCAAAATTTTATTACATTTATTTATTTATTTGTTTGTGTGTGTGTGTGTGTGTGTGTGTGTGTGTGTGTGGTGTACATGTGGATGGCAGAGGACTACTTGCAGGAGCTGGTTCTTTCCTTCTACCATGTGAGTCCTGTGGATCAAACTCAGATTCTCAGGCCTGGTGGAAAGCGCCTTTATGGAAGATGTCTTTTAGAGATCAGAAGTTCCTAGGGACTAGTTGTTGGTTTTGTGTGTGTTGGGGGGGGGGGGGGGGTGGGGGTGATCTTGAACTCAAGAACCTCCTGCCTAAGCCATGTGCCATGTTCTCTCCTTCACATTTCAAATAATTAACTAGGGTTGGGGACAAAGTGTCCTTACCCACTGATCCATCTCACTGGCCTTGGCTTAATTCTGTTGTTGCTTTATTTTCCCAAAAAAGGTTTCTCTTTGTAGCCTTTGGCTATCCTGAAACTCTGTAGACAAGGCTGGCCTCAAACTCACAGAGATCTACCTGCCTCTGCCTTCCAAGTGTGCACCACTTAATTTTTGTATGTAATGTGAGGAAAGAGTTGAAATTCTTTTTTTTCTTTTTCATTTTGGTTTTTTGTTTCTTGAGACAGGGTTTCTCTGTATTGCTTTGGAGTCTCTTCTGGAACTCGCTCTTTAGACCAGGCTGGCCTGGAACTCACAGGAATCTGCCTGCCTCTGCCTCTGAAGTGCTGGGATTAAAGGTGTTCACCACCAACACCTAGCCCTCTTTTTTTCTATATAGTCAACTCAACATTATTTGCCAAGAAACATTTGGTTTCTGCATTAACTTTTGCACCTTATCTAATGATCAGTTAACCATGTATTGTAGTCTTTTTCTAAAATGTCTATTTTGTCCCCTCACCTATTTAAGTTTGTATTTGTTGCTGTTGTTTTAATTATGTGTCTGTGTATGTGAGTTCAGGTGACTGTGAAGCCAGAAGAAGGTATCAGATCCCCTGTAGCTGGAGCTGCAGGCTGTTGTGAGTTATTTGACATGGGTCCTGGGAATCAAACTCAGGTCTTCTGGAACAGCAGTAAGCCCTCTTAAGACTGAGCCATTTCTCTAGTCCTCATTATCTTTTGAAGTGCCAAGATTTTAAATTTGGATCAAATACAATTTATTTTTCCCCATGGTGTGGTGGTGTGAAAGAAAATGGCCCCCAAAGGGAGTGGCACTATGAAGAGGTGTCGCTTTGTTGGCGTGGGTGTGGCCTTGTTGGAGGAAGTATGTCATTGCAGAGGCAGGCTTTGAGGTCTCATATATGCTCAAGCCACACCTAGTGTCTCAGTTCACTTCCTGTTGCCTGTAATATACAGAGCTCTCAGATCCTTCTCCAGTATCATGTCTGCCTGCATGCTGCCATGTCCTGCCATGATAATGGACTAAACCTCTGAAACTGTAAGCCAACCTCTAAGACACATGGCGTCATTTCTCAAGAACTGGGCTTTACTGAAGGATATGAAATTTTTCTTCCTATTTTTTTTCTTCAAAATGTTGTAAGTTTGGTTCTTGCATTTAGTTCTATGATTCATTTTGAACCAATCTGCATGTGTATTTTGTATTGTTCACATGCCATTTGTTACAAGCACTCTCCCTTCCCTGACTGGCTGTCCTTAAATTCTATGATAAAGTACTCTGCCGCTCTTGGTCCTCCAGGGCTTCCATGTACCGATTTCATGATTCCCCTTGGTTCTCTTCCGGCTATCATTTTCTCCCTGATCCCCTTTTGACTCTGTTTTTCCATTTCATTTTGGTCACTTGAGAAATTCTTGTTCTCAACTCTGTGCCCCCCACTCAATTGTCAGCAATGTCTAAATGTCACCATGGGACTTGCCAATGTTGCCTTTCCTGGGTGTTTTTGTTTTCTCTTGGTCTGATTGCTGAGTTCTGTTGGCTCACATTTCTTCCTCTGAGTCCGGCCTTCCTTCAGGGAGTGTATTTTTGCTGGCCTCCCTCCCATCAAGCCTTGCTTCCCTTTGTGGGCCTTGCTTTCTGCTTCCCCACAGGTGCCTTCTGATGTCTTCACTCCTTCACTGCTTCTGTGGAGGCCGGGGTTGCTTTTGGCAGTCCTTATGTGTATTTTGAGTCTGTAGATTATCTCTGTCTCCCGTCTCCCTCTTTGCTGGAAATTGACTTATTTTCCTTCTTGCTGTTTTTGGAAGCTCTCCAAAAATGGAAGAAGAAAGTTGCCACTTTGGACTCCAGACTCCCACTCAGCCCATCAATGAGAGCATCAGTCACAGGTCTCTTTGTAAATTTGTTATACAGCGCAGGCATTCAGTGCCTGAGTTGGAAACTGGTGTCTTCCAGCAATCCCAGAAAATTTCAAGATGTTTCTCTTTGTGAATTGTCCTTTTTAATTTTCTCTTCTGTTTCCTTCAGGAAGTATTCTGTCCTTGTACACTGTCTACACCTACATTCACCCCCTATTTTTAAATATTTTGTTCATATTTTTTTGTATTGGGATCTCTCTAGGCCACATCTAGAAACTTCTAGATCCTTTCAGAAAGGCCTTAGGGTAACCATTCTGTTTTAAATTGCTTGGCAGTGCCTCACCTCCCCCACTTTATTCTTCTCTGTGGCACTTTCTACCATTCCACACATAGTACTGCATTGCTCATTTTGTCCTTTTTGTCCTCACTGTTTTTGTGTGAGTGATACAAATGATAAATTATATTTTTACAATAAATAAGTATTGATCGTCAGTATAAGTTCAAACCCAACCACAGGTCCTGGGACTGAAAAACAGCTGGTGGCTTCCTCCACCATGGTGCTCACCGGGGCATCGCTTTTTTTCAATTTCTTAAATAAAGGTTTGATTGAAGGATAACATACTCATGGAAAAACCACACAAACCAAAGCACGAGTTCAGTGACTAACCCTGCTGCAGATACACCAAATAATATCACTCAGATCTCTTAACCCCACCCCCTGAGGGCAATTGCACCCCTACCCTTCATCTCATGTCCACTCCTTATCTGTATTAAAGAACATATATCATATTTTTATCTCTGCCTTCTTCATTCATCACTGTGTAAAATGTTTCCTTGGATCAACATGTTCTTAAATATACTTGTACCTTACTTCTCTCACTTTCATGTACTTAGTATTCCATTGTGTGGATATAGTCAGCCATGTGTAATTATGGATAACCGCAGGTTTAACTAACCAGGCATCAAAAATACTAAAACAAGCTAGGTAGTCCCAGCACTCCAGAGGCAGAGTCAGGTGAATTGTTAGTTTGAGGCCAGCCTAGTCTACATAGAGAGTTCCCGGACAGCCAGGGCTATGTAGGGATATGTCTCCAGATAAAGAAACAAATGAGAAAAAACTAACAATGTTATACACAAGAAATATACCCAAAACATAAAGAAATTGAAAAAAAAAAAGAGCAGAGAAGACAGTTTAACATTTAAGAGGGTTTGCTGTGCAAGCATGAGGATTGGAATTAGTTCCCATATAAAAAGCCTGCAACCCATCACTAAGTTGGGGTGGGGACAGGAGGATCACTGGGCCTAGTTGGTTGTCACCTAGCCAAGCAAACTGAGCTCCAGGGGCTGGAGAGATGGCTTAATGGTTAAGAGCATTGGATGCTCTTCCAGAAGACCTGGGTTAGGTTCCTAGCATCCACATGGTGGCTCACAACCATCTGTAACTTCTGTTTCAGAGGATCGGATGCTCTCTTCTGGCCTTTGCAGTGATCATACACACACGTGATAGACAAACTCCCAAACACATATAATAAAATAATTAAAAAGACAAGCTCCAGGTTTTAGGAGAATCCCTGACTCAAAAGAGCAGGAAGGATAGAAGAGGGCATTTGACACTTACATTTGACATTGCCTCTGAACTTTCCATGCTGTGTACAAACATCACACTCAACATGCATTACATAGACCACACTTGTACACACACACATGCACATTTGTTCACATGTACTCACACGCTAATCAACAAATCTTCATCTATGCCAAACATGTGCTGATTTTTCTTCTTGTCGTTGTCCCCTAAAGAATACAATATAGGGAGCTGGAATGATGGCTCAGTGATTAAGAGCACTGGCTGCTCTTCAAGAGAATCCAGGTTCAATTCCCAGCACCCATGTGGCCACTCAAAATGTCTATAACTCCAGTTCCAGGGGATCTGATACCCTCACACCAATGCACATAAAATAAAATAAAATTATTAAAATTTTAAAAAGAATACAGTATAGCAGAGTAACAGCTATTTGCATAGAATCTGCCTTGCTTGAGGTAATAAATACTCTAGAGATGATGTGAGTACAGGGGACATATGGGTATATTCTATGCAAATGCTACATGTCTTATATAAGGGACTTGATTGTCTGTGGATTTTGATAACAGGGTATCCTCAAACCAGTTCCTCAACAGTCCTAAGAGATGGATAATTACCATAATTTGTTTATGCTTTCTACTGTAGAGAGCACTTTAACCTTTTCCAACTTCTGGCTATTCCATTTAGAGCTGCTACAAGCCCTCCCTACATACCTCTTAGTAATGGTGTTTTTGCCTCCCTGTAGGGTATTTACAGCTGAACTGAAATTGCTGGGCTAGGGAATGTGTGTGTTGTTTCTAAACTGCTAATTTTCTCTGTGTGTTGTGGGAATTCTTTGAGGTCTGCCTCAGATTTCATTCTCTAGGGAGATTTGCCTGTCCCTTATTCAAGGGACCTGGGCCACTGCTGAGAAGCTACTTCTATGCTTGGTCAGTGAGAGAACTGAAGTCAGGTCCATCGATGCTTCTCTGTCAGGAATGTACCCCTGTGTGTTCTCCCTCCAGCTGTGTGTGGCACCCTTTGCAGAGCTTTCCTTCTTGTCAACGGTGCTGAAGTGTGACCAGCCTGCACATTTATAATCTGGGAAGATGGGTGGGTTCAGGGCTCCTGAAGTAGAGGGCTCACCTCTACATCACCTAGACTTTGGTATTCTCTTAGCCTTGAGAGATCATAAAGTTTATATACTCCCTATGTTGAAATCTTGTGAGTTAATATTGTGTGTGGAATCAATAAATAATGTCATTTCAGAAAGGCCAAAGTTCATTGCTTTTGTTTAAATGAAAACTTCAAGAAAATTCATTGACATGAAACCACCAAGCCTGGTTTCATTAAAAAATATATGAAATAAAGCTAAAATTGTGCCATGTCTATGCAGATCTTTAGAGAATTTGTTTGTCCCTCCCTGAAAGACACTTAATTGTTGCTTAATTAGTAAAAGACCCAGAGACTGATATTAGGGTTCATTCTTCAAGCTGAAGATCAGAAAAGCAAAACTCCTGGTCACTAGCTCTTTGCTCTAACTCAGACTGAAATGTGATCCTTGGTCCACCAAACTGCAGACTGAAGCCTTTCCTCAGCATGGCTGGAGAATGAATGCCTCTCTGAGACCTTGCTTCTATCTTAAATACTTCCATAATGTTGGGATTAAAGGTATGAGCTCTAATTCTCTTTTAGACTGATTCATTCTTGTAGATCTGGGTGGCCCTGGACTCTCAGAGATCCTTCTATCTCTTAGTCCTGAGTCCTAGGATTAAAGGTGTGAACCACCACCTCTTAGTTTCTGGCTGCTGGGATTAAAGGTGTGTGCCTGGCTTCTAGGGCTTGTGGCTGACTTTGCTTTTCTGAATCCTTAGTCAAACTTTAATAAGTCATAACTATATCCCTACAACATGGTGTGTCTTTTAGACTGCCCACATTGGGTAGTGCCTGAAGTTACCAAAGAAGCAGAACTTTTCCAAGATTTGAGCACTGACCTCACAAGTTTTCTGCTGCTTAAGCATTCGGGGCATTTGTGAACAGCAAGATATTGCAGAAAAAGTATCCTGTCAGGGAGATGCCTCTCATTGCTCTTCCAGAGGACCTGAGTTTAGTTCCTAGCACCCACCTGGATTTTCTACCTGAAAAGCCACCTGACACATAGAACACACTAAATACCCAGTAAGAACCAGATGTGTTTACCAAGCACTCATTCTGTGAGAACCAAGGTGTCCCAGGAGCAATTCTTTAGGAGGATATAGTGATTAGGACTGTGTAGGTATGGTCCCTCAGATATCCCCCATATCTTTGTGTCTCAGGGTGTCTCTACCATTATGTGCCCTGGTACGACATGAAGCCTGTGGTGGCTGTGACCTCCAAATGGGAGGATGTCAACTTCCGGATAAATTGCCTCAACCTCCTCCACGTCACCCGGGATCACCTGGTGAGTGTGCAGGAGGGAGCGGGGTGGGGGGGGATGGATGGGAGGCTTAGGAACATACACCACAGAACTAGGAAACCATGCATACCTCTCACTTTTATACCCCATGATAGTGGGAGCCCACATCATTGAGAACTATGCCAGATACAGCACTGGGCACTAAAGACACAAAGACAATCAACACATGCTTGGCCTCTCTGGCTGAAGAAGTCAGAGATGTACAGTTACTGTGCAGTGCAGCTAGGGCTACCGTGGAAATACAGGTGTCAGATTTAGGATCAGGGAGACGGGATGGGGAGGGAAGAAAAGAGCAGTCAGGAGGTGACAGAGCAGTGGCAATTTGGGGGGATGGAAACACAAAGGGAATGATATGTGTAAAGTCACAGTGATGTGATGGCTTTATAAGCCGTGAGAGGAACCAGGGCCATAAAGGTATCATGGAAGTTAGAGAGGCCAGGAAGGGTCATAGAACAGAGTCTTGGGTTCTTGTCAAGGAGCACAGATGTCAGAAGATGTTTATACATAGCATCTCTGCTCTGGTCATGACTTCCTCATGTCCTCGGATGGACTTCTGCATGTTTCTATCCCCTGCCATCCAGGCCCTGGGGGGGGGACAGGAAGTA